TCTGGTTATGTCTGTGAGTACTTCTAGAGACTACTGGCATGTGGTACAGTCAACTGAGGGAGGAAATACATCCTGAATGTGAGCTGCATCATGCAGTATGGTGCAAGCCTGGATGGAAGAAAGGCAGGAGGAGGAGGAAGCCCATTAATGCATGCTCTTCCTGTTCTTTCCACTTCTTGGCCGCCATGACATGAGCAGCTTTAAACTACCATACCAATCTGCAACAATATTTCTTCCTTTCCACAGGCTTAAACCAGAACAAAAACCAGCTGACAATGGACTGAAATCATGAGCCAAAATAAACCTTTCCTCCTTTACTTTGACTTTCTCAGGTATTTTGTCACAGAGATAGTAGTCAGTACACTCAAGAATTGCAGAAGTTTATAAAGTAATACAGTGTATGTAAAGACCAGGAATTTTCAAGGCTAATTTATTGCTCTGAAAATCAGTAGAATCAAGGAGTCACACAGCTCTATATTTCACAAACCAGAAATTCAGTCACATAGGGTGATTTGAGAAAACAATGTGCATACAACAGTATTGCATATAACATATTCAATTAGTTTGAAGACATGAAATGCATATAATGTATGTTATTCCCATTCTCAACTATAGTCTAGATGGAGAAACAACAGAAATATATGACATACTTATAATTCAATGTAAAAGAATGTAAAATACTGTGGAAATTTGTGTACCAGCAAACTAAATTTCCTCTACAAGAAAAACATTTATATACAAAAAACTTGATGTGAGTCATTAAGCTGGTGCTGGTTAGGATATAGGGAAATGGGGAAAAGGTATGGGTATGCTGAGGAAAGATCTTACATATAAAGCATAAACAATTTAATAATTGGATGAGGCAAAACAGGGAAAGTTTATAAAGAAAAAAGTGAAAGAAAGAAAGAGAAAGAAAGAAAGAAAGAAAGAAAGAAAGAAAGAAAGAAAGAAAGAGAAAGAAAGAGAGAAAGAAAGTATTTTGTGTTTGTGGTAAAGTGTCATGGGGGTTGTTATGGACTAAATTGTGTCCACCACCCAAATTCATGTGTTGAAACCAACCTGAGCCCTAGTACTACACAATATAACTGTATTTGGAAATACAGTTTTAAAAGAGACATTCACATTAAAATTAGGTCATTATGGTGCACCTCAACCTAATCTGATTCATGTCCTTATAAGAGGAGGACATAGAAAGAGTCACAGGTACACACAACACAGGGACAGGAAGCAAGGGAGCAGCCATTTGCAAGCCAAGGAGAGAGGCCTTCGAGGAAATCAACACTGCCATCACTTTGATCTTGAACTTTATGAAATCTAGGACAGTAACATCATAAATAGTTCCTGGGTCTAAGTCACAAAGGCACTAAGTCTGTGGTGATTTGTTATGATAGTCCCAGCAAACTAATACAGAGGTCAAGAAGCTAGTATGTGAAAGTAGGTTTGAGACTATAAGCATTTTGTTCCTAGAAAGGTGGAAGGTATACACTGGGAGAGTGCTTTTATATTTCCATTATTAACATTATCATCTTGATCTTTAACTCTCTTGTGCCATCCCCAACTCTTGGTAACACTGATATTTTCTTCTTATCAGGAAAGGCTAACACTGTTACTATGAAGGAATCTTCATATTTATGAACGATAATTCTATTCTTTCTTAAACACTGTCTTACTATATAGGAAAAGTAGGTGACTATTTGACTTGCCGAGTAAAAAAATGGTGCTACCATGAGCAGGGAATAATGGGGCTACATTTCAAACAAACCTCTTTATTTAGACTCTGATCTTATATAGTTCTGTTATTTAGAAAAAAAGACTTCATCTCTTATGAGCTACTTTGATACTTACCTTAATTCTCCATTTTATTCACATGATAAAAAAATTATACATGATAGAATAAATGTTTTCAAAATGTTTATTTATCAATTTTATTAATATTACAGAGGGATAACATTTAGTAGAGCCTTTCCTTTTCTTCCTAATGACTTTGAATCATGCATTGTACACTATACCACAGTATTATTTTTTAATTAAAAAAATAAGTTTAACAATTTCTACATCACCAAAAGAGTATGCCCAAAAGCAATGACTCTCATCTCATTAGGCCTTCTACTGACATTTTTAAGAAAAATGTGATGGACACAAATAATTTCACTTCTTTGGATATCTGTGAGTCAACTGTTACCCTCTGGTTCTGAGAGGTTCTAAGACACAAAGGCTGTAATCATTTCAAATTCCGATTTTTTATGAAAGTCTGCTCATGTCACTTTCCACATAAAACACTTGTATTTTTATGGCTTTTAGAATCCATTTCAAATTTCTTTATCTGTCTGATGAAACCCTAAGAAATAAATCTCTTCATAATTTTTCAACCTAATCATATGTCATCCCACCAATCCCCATCCTTCCTATGTAACAAATTCTATGACTATCAGCTACTAATAAACAAATACTTCTTTTGGGCCCTAGAAAATACTGTAGTCTCTCACCTCTGGATCTCCTTTTATGCAATTTCATAAAAACAATGGCCCTACCACACTGTCCTCATTTCCTTGGCCTGACCAACTTCAGTTCTACTCTTATCCTACCTTATCATTTGCTGCTTTTAGAAACTAACACAGGCAGACCAAATCTGGAGACTAACCTACTTCATCATTGGGTCATTTAATCAGTCCAGAAGATAAAATGATCTGCCTTCGATAAGCTATTCAGGGAGAAAAAATCAAACTCCAAAATTCTCTCCCCCTTTGCCTGAGAATGCATAAAGTTGCAGAGAGCCAAGAAAATAGATACATCCGTAATGAATTCAGCATTACCCTTTCTCCACAAGTCACTAACAGCAATGTGTATTCAAGTGCTGAAAGACCGTGGATAGAGTTCTATCCCCACTTGTTATGGTTCTGCAGGAAAGAGAGGGGCTTGAGTTTCCAGCTTACCGTCAGAATACTCCATGTCCATTCAGACTTCAATATATTGTTCAGTTTTTAGCAATTTAACTTAATAGCATGAGATACATTATTTTAATTTGATTTATTTACATAAAACATTGAAACACATGCATAACATAAGAAAATCCAATATAAATATAAAAATAACAAAAATAGTTTTTCAAAAAGTAGTTTAGCAAAAAGTATGACTATTGTGAAGGTAGATTCTATGAAAGTGAGGCTATAAAAAATCTTCATAAAATGCTGTTTGACAATAGCCAAAAACTCATTACATGATAAATGTGAAAAACTGTCCTAAGTTAAACAATGTATTTTATGCAAATATTTTATGTACATTGTAATTTAAATCATAGCCACTGAAAAGAAAAACAAACTATATTAAACATGGTTGAATAATAAACTAGCTTGCACATCTAATAGACCACCCTGAATCAGATAATCTCCTGTTTTACTTATTTGTTTATTGGTTGATTGATTCATTGATGGATTGTGGCACTAGATATTGAACCCAGGGCTTTTACACTGAGTTACATCCCTACACCCTCTGCTATATTTTTAATGACACTGGGTGTCCGTAATTTACTCAGTCTGGGTTCAAACTTGGAAACCTCCTGAGCCACAGCCTCCTGAGTGTCAGGATTACTGGAAAATAATATTCTACATGATTAAATTCACTTTGTTTAGCATTTCTACCTATACTTTGAAAAAATATAGATTTTCAAATTATTCATGAATACAATGATACGTTTTTTTCAATGAAAGCACACATTTTTATATGTGAAATATAAAAGTTGAAAATAAAAATACTAAAAATAATAAAACAGAGTAACAAGGTATAACTGTAAGGTTAACACCTTTTGACATTTCTATTACCATGTTGTCAAAGTGAACACCTCTCTATAAAGGAAACTAGTCACAGCATAGCAAATAAAACTAAAATGTCATCACAGACTAGGGCTTCAGTATGTTTTCTTGACTTTACATCTTCCTAGTAATTCCAGGCTACCAGGGGAAAAATCATTCTAAGACAGCCTAAAGATATGAGGTCTTGAATTGATTTTCCACTTGACCACAGGAAAATGAATCAATAGAAAGAGGAATTATTATATAATAATTACTTATACCTAGAAAGAACCTTAGTATGCATCAGTAGTAACTATTTAAAAGATGAGGAAATAGACACATAAGAAGTTACTTGTCCTGAGTCATACAATTAGTAGGAGAACTCAGGTCTCCAAAGTTCTGGATCCATATCATTTTCACTGATGGCACTGAGGTTGTGCTAATGTAATTCACTGAGATCTACTTCCACAAATTGTTACTGTAAAGACATTGTGACTTCCTCACATATCCACTCCAACAGCTCATCTGGTACTTCTTCACATCCATTTGGAGAAATGGAGAGGCGGTATTTATAATTTATTATTTAAGTTATCAGTTTAGTAAGTAAATAGTGTATCAGCTATTAATAGATAAATTCTTACAATAATTATTTATGCTAAGTAAATATAAAATCACATTAAGTATTTTGAATATAATACTCCATCTTTACTTCATATTGTAGCTATTTGTACTCAAGATGTGTAGATTGGGAAACTAGTGTACAGAAGTTAGCTGATAGAAATTACAAAGTGATTAAGGACTAAACTCTGAAATCTGTTTGATATTAACAATTGGTGCTTAGTGGTTTAATGTACCTCTTCAAAATCCCTTCGTTCCAGATGCCAGCATTACCTCCTCATAGCTCTTTGAATGTAAACTACTTTAGCTGCCACAAGATAGAATGGCATCAAACTGTGATCATTCTCCATGGGTGCTATTCTACTTACATGCTTGGTTTAGTAGTCAAAACTTCATATAAGAGTAGTCATAACAAAACATAAAAGCATACAAAGGACTCTATGGTTAATCATTATCCCTCATTGGATATTCATGTCCTGGAAGACTTTGGGTTTATGGAACATCTCCAAATAATACAGCCCCAAATGATGTCACTAATGAGTCACTGATTAGGTAAATACTGTTATCTAATCTGAGTTCCAAAAGTATCTCATACTTCATATGCCTCCAGAACCCACATGTATCAGTCTTCAGTAGCTGCTCCTATTTTTCCATATTCTTCTTTTCTTTTGCTTCTAATACAAGCTTTTCATCTAATTGTCTTCATGAATCAATATAAGGTTCTCAAGTAATGATAGTCAGGAAGACAGTACTAAAATTTTAAGTGTCAGTTATAGGGGAGGGAAAAGTTCATGGTATAAGATTATATTAATTGTGAAAATAGGTGAAGAACTTTGATGCATACTGAATAATCCTGAGATAAAGGCCTGGACATCAACAAGTAAGTTAGACTCTTTTAATTCAAACTTCTTTACTAAAATTAAGTGCTTGGTTCTGCAATTACTGAGTCTAGATTTTAACATTTAGTTTAATGTATTTTAATGAATTTGTATGTGATAATATTTAGTCTTAAAAAGAAAAAGGTCTTGGGCCAGGGATTTAGCTCAGTGATTCGCCGCCTGCTGCGAAAGCGCAAGGACCTGAGTTTGATTCCCAGCACCAAAAAAAAAAAAAGGTCTCATTAATTCAATATAATCATCAAGGGCGTTTTTTGTGAGGTGGAGATAGTATACTTTGGCTTTTGAGTGTCTCCTAAATGTTTGCACAACCTTGCATTACAAGTTTCGTCCTCAGATTGGCACTATTGGAAGCTGGTAAACATTCTAAGATGTGGGGCCTATGAAGGGCTTAGCTTACCGGGGGCATGACCTTGAAGGAGACTGTGGAAACCAGCCCGCTCAACTTTCTTTTTCATTTCCAAGCTCTGAGGTGACAGGGTTTGCTCTGCTCCACGTTGCCTGCCATGGCTGTCTCATAACAGGACCAAAGAAATGGAGCCAGCCGACCATGAATTCAGCCCTCCAAAATGGTGAGCCAAAATAAGCCTTGTCACTTTCAACCATAAGTTGAAAATCTCAGGAAGTGGTTACAGAAATGAAAAGCTGACTAACACAAAAGGACACTTGATTTTCTTTCTCAATGTTAAACTTAAGTGTTGAAGGAAAAAAATTGAAATATCAAGAGGAAAATCGTAAAAAGATCATTTAGGAAATAGTATCCCTATTTTCATCAAATGGAACATAAAGACAGAACAATGACAATAAAATCCATGATCATCTTACAGTTAATTCCTTCTGCAGAGACATCGAGAAAGCCTGTTGTGCCATGAAGATGCAGCTGGAGTACGAATGTGATGTGTCATCAACAGAAATGTCATCTCCACTTTGGCAGAAGATGCCACTTGGTTAACATGTAATTATTACTGACTAAAAATAGCCCTTGTTGCAATTATCTCAGCTTGCTGTATTTCTTTGGATGATTATGTTTCAACGTGGTGTTTGTGTGCAGTCAATGAGCATTTCTAAAGAGGTAAACACTAGCCATTGAATTGCCTTTTCCCTAGTTTCAGTGCAATTGCTATTTCTTCATTTGACTTGTAAGAAATGGCCAAAGAGGCAAAGGGTCTTACAGTCATGTAGGCTGGCTAAAATGAGAGGAGAAATGCATGGAGAAGTTCTTTATCCATCACTACCAATGAAATTCCCAAGTTCTTCCACTGCCTTCAAGAACCTTCCCATGAAAAATATTGGATCAATTAGTTTTGACATTAGAACTTAGAAATAATAAGTATAAATAATAAATATATAATAAAGAATAATGAATAAAGACATAATAATATACAAACATGGGCAAACTAAATAATGAAAACTTAATCAGTCATAGATAAGACTTGTTGAGAACTTCTATGGATTTGATGTATTTACCAAATAACTATTCAAACAGGCTCTAAGATATAAGCATATACTTAATATTACTCTTTCATTAGAAAGTGCTCTCCATAGGGTTTCCAGGAGTTCTCCTAAAGTCCTCATCCATCATGAGCTTAGAATGTAAGTGGTGTTTTAGAACTAATGGACGTTATAATTCATGGGCATTGCTCAAACCATATTCATACCCTCCTCTGCCCTCAACCCTCAAGGTGACAGCCATGCTTTCTTCATAACATTAGGTTCAGTAAGATCATAGTTCAGCTCATTATTTCACTTACTTGTAAATTAAAATGTGTTGAATTGCAAATGTGAGGCACAACTGAGGGGTGATAGATAAAAGAAATTAATAAAATTCAAATTATTTTTTATGGAGCAAAGAAAATTTTAACAAGTTGTTACAAAAATAACTAATCTGTAAAAGAGCTACGAAGTTACTCTACTCACTATAAACTGAGACATCACATACATATGTGGTAGAAATTGAAAAACAGTAAAATGAGCCTGTGTGTGTGTGTATTAATTTTAAGAATACCTAACTGTAGGCATGAAGAAAGTTCGAGTTGTGAACATTTCTGTTGTTCTGAAATTTTAAAATATTTCATTAAATTCATAGGGATAAAGGTATCAAAAACACATATTTTTCACCAAAATAACCCAGAGTATCCTTGCTTGAAAGACAATTGGGGGAGAAGTTTAGATACAGTACCAGCTATGACAATTTGGTAAAAGAAAACAGAGGAAGTTACATTTAATTTCACTCTTAGAAGCTGACAAAGTTGTGTGCTTTGTATTTTTGCTTTGACTTTAGGCATTCTATGGACTCATTTTTCCAAGCTTTATCTTTAGTTTAAAAATAAAATAGGCCTTAAAATCTTTCTCATTGCCATAACTGTATCCCCCCTTCCATCCTTCCACTTCTCCCTCCCTTCCTTCCTTCCTTCCCCCTTCTCTCTTTCCTTCTAATATTGCAATTCTTTTTATTAGTGAAGAAGGAATATATATTCACTGAAACCCATATGCAGAATATAAAGCAAATATTCATTAATTTAAAATAACAAAATGCTTCCCAAAGTATGGTTGGCCTGTGAAGCAAATACCAATGGCTTCCTTTCCATAATGCTTTCAGCACTGAATATGAGCAAGTGGTTGTGAAAGCCACAATGTTTCAGTCCTCTGGGAGTTTACAGTTTGGTAGGGAAGAAAATAACATGTTTTATTTCAATATTGCATTTAGGATGTTGTAGATAGTTCACCAGTGATTCTATTGGAAATATAAAGAAACAGGTAAGCACAGCTAGTTGAATTGTCATGGACAGCCTTGATATATACGTCCACACCCTGTCTGAATCCATCCTCTTCTGTTTCTCTACTGTTGTAACTCTGATGAGAATCACCATCATCTCTTGCCTCAAATACTGCCATCACACTCTAATAACCAGGTAAAGGCTTGTGCACTTAATCGCTGTGATATAATACAGATAGATTAATCTCTGGAAACATTAGACTTATATTAACACTTTCTGTCACATTTTGAATAAAATTGAAATTTTACCCCATGGCATAAAAGCCTCTAAATAAAGCAACACCTACCTACATTTTGACTATTCCAAAATGCCCTCTATATTTACTCAAGCTCTCCTTCAAATAAAGACCCTATTTTAGTCATAAGAGCATTTTTTGTTGTTGTTGTTGTTGTTGTTGTTGTTGTTGTTGTTGGGGATTGAACTTAGGACCTTGCACTTGGGAGGCAGGTGGTGGAACCACTGAGCTAAATCCTCGGCTCATAAGAGCCTTTTTTGCATTTGTTGATTTAATTACATCTCTTCTATCTCAGGATACAACCTTAATCCTGTCAGAATTTTCTAAGTATTTGTACATGTATGATGCACTCCATAATATGGCTAACAGGTCAATATTACTTTGTCATTTCCTCAGAGAACTCTTCCCCAACTCTCCATTGTGCATCAGTCTGTCTCCATCTGTTATATTTGGCTTATATCTAGATGTCCCCCAAAGCCTCGGGTGAGGCTTTTGGGGGTGGCTGGATCATGGGTGTGAGACTATATTAGTCAACCAATTGCTTTAGTATAGTTCTGGGTGTAGCTGGTGGGTTTACTGAAAAGGCAAGTCCCACCCTGGGTCTGGGTGGCATCAACCAATAGGCTTATAACTTGGATAGGAAAAAAAAGGAGGGGAAAGAAAAAGGAGGGCTTGTTGCCTGCTGCCTGCCCTGCCAACAGTCTTTTTCTTCTACCATTCTGCCCTGTCTTGGAGCCAGCCAACTACGGACTAAAACCTCTACAAACTGAGCTAAAATAGACTACCTTGTGGGTCTTTGGTATTGTGTCACAGTGAGGAGAAAAGTAACAAAGATGCCACCATCCCTCAGCCACCAACTTTTTCTTTTGTCATGGCACTTGTCAACATCTTATTCATTTGTTTATTGCCCTTAATTATTATGTGAACTCCAGATCATGTGGTTATGCCATCATACTTATTGCTAGACACTGAAAAAGGGCTTGTCTAGAAGAACCACAGTTATGTAGAACACTGTGGATACAATGGCGAGATTTAACAGGCACAGGGGAGCTAATTAAATTTGAATTTCACATAATCTATAAGGATTATTTTAATATAACCTGTCCCAAAATGCATGAGATATACTTCAACTGAAATATGAGAACCTTCATTGGAGTATGATGTAAACAAATAGATTTTCAAGAACATTTTAGGACAATCAGGGCTACTAAAAATCTAAAAATTGGTACTATGGAAATATTGTTAACTTGGTGAGATGTGATTTTAATGACTTGGTTAGGAGCACAATGTTTTAGTTATTTTTTCGAGATGTATGCTGAGGTATTTATAGGTAAAATATCATGATGACTATTAATCTTAAAAATTTCAAGAAGGTAAATAAAGCAACGTATTGAATTTTTCTTTGCAACCAACAAGTGTGAAAAGAGGAAGGAACCTTGGAGGACTCTCTTGATCCCTCCCTCATGTTTCCTTCCCGGACCTTCCATTGCTGAGTCAGCTGAAGGTGGGATTGAAACTCACAGCTGTGCAATGGACGGGGTGGGGAGGGTCAGCCTCACCCTCTCCCTCACAGAGGGCCAGGAGGAGGTCAAGGAAGGAATGAACAGACACAAAAGCAGTCCCAGGACCTGCAGACTTCTCATTACTCTCTTGCCTCTATTTCACTGCATGCTTGAAATTATATATATATAAATATTTTAATATTAATTTAATTTGAATACTAAAAAATTTTTTAAAAACTGGAACAGTAAAATGCAATTCATACATATTTAGTATGTGAAAAATGAATGCATTGAAGGATGGAAGGATATGCCACTTTTCCATAAAGATTGTTTTGAGATCCTCTGCCATTTTCTTCCTGTCTAAAGTCAGGACATAAATTTGTAACAGTGTCCCTCTCCACTTTTCATATCAGAAGGACAGAAGTTCATTAGGCAACTCTGAGTCGTCTTCAGCTCAGGCAAGGAGAATGCACCACAGCAATCTAATGTACAAACCTTGCTAACCATCCTTATCTGCGTTAGTTTCTCCTGTACTTGTCTTTCTGCAACTAGCTGCTCATAGAACACAATGCTATTTTCTTTCACCTGGTCACTTCTCTGTAAAACTACTAACTATTCTTTGTTGAGGGACTAAGCTTATGCTTAGACTGTAAATGTCCACTTGAATTACTTACTGCTGAGTGGTCTCATCTGCAGGCATGGTGCATATGTTAACTTTTTAAAAAATTTTTCTTGTTAGTCATTCCTAAGTGTTACTTGCAGAGTCCCACTCAGTGAAGCTAAGATGGGTAGAGAAGGCATTTGCCCCCAGACTTTATCTTGTGACACAGATTACCTATTTTTTCTTGGGACAGAGGAAAAGAAGCAGCTTGCTTATTTTGTTTACTTGATCCTTTTAATTAATTGTATTTCAATTACTCTTGCATCTTTGTAAAGTTTATCTAATAAAATTAATTTCCTAGGGAATTTTCCATAATCACATCGTGGTATATAAATTGTCTACATGCTAATGATGTCACAGGATTAAAACAATTAAAATCAATTTAACAAATCTTAATAAATATTTAGCCCTACCTGTATGGTCAAATTTGCTCCTAGGTGGCAAAGAGTTTTATGATATCATTGCAGTTAAGTGACAATGTTCTTTACCAAATGGGAAAATGTGTATCATACATTATGTAACATAAATATACAGGTGTAAAGATTAAAACTTCTATTTATAATTATTTAAGATTATGTTTATGTTTCTTATACTTAATTTTTTTTTACATATCAAAGAAGAAAAAATTCTGAACGCTTATTTTTTTTGTTTGTTTATTCATTAAGTTTCTTGGTACATTCTAGGTATACAATACAATGACATTCACCATTGGGAATTTGTACCTTTGCGTGGTATATCTTGGTTCTTATTTTTTTCCCATTCCCCTGCCCTCCCTTCAACCCCTCCACCACTTCCCATTCCCCTAGGAATGCTTAGTTTTTGGGGGGTTAATATTAGAAGAAATAAGTAAAGCAATATTTTCAGCAAAATAGTCCTATATTGCTGAGAAATTACCTTAAATAACCTTTTCTAGCTAATGCAAGAAACACTGAAACAAAAAAGTAATCTATTTTAATACAGTGCATTCAAAATCATTTCTATTTAACAGATATAAATTATAGATCAAATTATTAAATAAGTTTTTAATATATATGAATTGGCAGAGTTATGCAAAATCTGCATGTTCACACACAATGGTGAGTAAAAATTAGGACAAGTTTTAGAAAGATTAATTTGATCAACTCCCAAATGGCAGAGGCCCAGTTAGAATTGTTTAAGCAAAACAAGGTTTCCAGGGTCATATAACTGGGTCGCCATTTATCCCATTTAAAATGCAGCATGGTTCTCTAATTAAAGGGCCTTGGAAATGACAACCCATTATCTTTGAACAGTAGCCATTCTCCTCGTTCCCACCCATGACATTTTGTTGTAGTTTCTTCTCTTCGGAACACTTTTCAAACATAGTGACAAATTTAAAAATGTCTGGGTGTTGTCTGAAGATGGCTTATCCAATGAAGAATACAACAAGGGCACTGCCCCCAAACCACTGGGAGAAGAGGAGGACCTGTAGCTGCCATATATTGTTCCAAAATGCCATTCCCCTCATCGCTTTTCTGTGCTCCTTTCATTTCTCTCATCACACCATTCCACCTATATTAACATTATCTGTGGATGGCTGCAACCAAGTGTGAGCACAAGGTGACTTTTTATTTTTTTAATCCAAATCAAGCCCTGCTTGGCAGTAAAATATATGTATTTACCTTACACCTCTTTTCCATTACAAGCAATTTACTGAGAGGAAACCTAGTATTATGAGCAAAACACAGACATCACATTGGAAAGGGCTCATTAGATCCAATGAGAGCTGATTGGTGAAGTTTGGATTCTGAATGTCATTCTGAATGAGCCGAGCTTTGTAAAAAAACATAGACTACTCCCTTGGTAATATTCTAAATGCCAGTCTTCCTAATCCTTAAAAGGCAGCCTGTAAAGTCACACCTTTCCTTCATACTGAGGACAAAACACTAGAATGCTTCTAGGTGTTCACATAGAAAAATTACACCTCATACTTTTGAATCACACAAATAGACTACCACCAATTCCCATCAGTTCTCAAAAATTTAGAATAAAACCATATGACAATAAAATAAGAAATTTCCTTAAAAAAGACTTTAGTCTGTATACAAACAAGCTGACAAATACGTATTGTTTAAGTTTTCCTGCCTGCTACGGCTCCACCAGCACATGATTTTAGCAAGATAGAAAATCCATCAGAATTTTTTTGATAATTATTTACCTTATAATTTTATGAGTTGTCTTAGCATTTTTTTCCCAGACTCTCTTGCTCTTTTGACTATACTCTCTGAACTCTTCAGATTTCTAATTTCGTCACATATTTTTGGCTCATTAATTTTCTACTTTTACATTCTATAGGAAGCAAGTTCTGCTAGTACAAAGCTTAGATCTCTAAATCCTCTTTCTAATCCCAATTACATTCTTATCCATTTCCCAAGTTTCTATGTAACATTTGTAGAAAAAGTGTGTAAATCCTCTTGTCCAGATCTCTGTCCAGGATAGCACAGGGAATGGACAGCATTAGCTTCACTTTGAGGCCCAGCTCAACTTCAACATGACATACAAGCAATGATCTTATATAACCTTCCTAGATGTCTGTGTTCTCATTTTGAGGAAAAGTAGTAATAGGTTTCTCTACCCTGTGGAATTATCCTAATAAACTAGCTAATTTACATCATTTTTACTGAGTGATATATGAGACATAGGCATTTAACAAGTATTTACTAAACAGTTTTATTTCTATTTTTCTGATGTTTTCTGCTTAGACCCTTCTCAGGTCCCTTTCCCTAATCTCTGTCATCAAGTAGCCTTCCTGTGGCTTCCAAGGGCTCCCTGTGCTGCTGTATCATAGCACTATTAAACTATGTTGCAATTGTCCATAGTACCTGCTATCCTAGTAACAGGAACTTTACACATCAACAACAATGTAGGCAATAAATATCTTATAGCATAAATTAAATAACTGGCATAAAATTGAAATAAAAGTCTAGGCTAGGATTTCAAGCCTGACATCAGCAAGTAGGCTTCATTCTCCATGCACCACACTCCCCTCAGTCGCATTGCTTAAATTACCAACTTCAGTGATAACTATATGTTTATTCTGCATGCTAGATTGTAAACTCCAGGGCTGGCCAGCTAATCTCATCTCTGATAAGGGTTCATGAACAACCTTTTTCTCTGGTCCAGTTGCTGAGTCAATAGTCAGTTACCATAAGTAATGGGTTCTGGCTGTTTGATAACCCCATGGAAAGCATGTGGGCCAATTATGAGTGCTTCATACTTGCTAAGAGTTTCATCCCACTGAGCTCAGAACAGAATCAATCTTACCTCTACAGTGAATGCAGGGCCCTGCACAATTACAAAGCCTTTTAATACTTATTGAAATCAAATAGGTTCTCTAAAGCCTGCGGAGATTTTCTTACCTCTGAAGGGTAAGGATTACCTTTCCATTCACTGTCTTAAGTAATACTCAGGAGTGAAAGAGGCAGCCAAACAAAATTGAAATTTCTGAAAGACTATCACCAGAAATCAGATATCCATATTTTCACACCCCAAAGAAGTTTCTGTACTCCATCTTTTTCTTCCTTTCGTCCACAGCTTTTTTCCTTCATTCTTTTTCAGTTGCTCTTATATAATTCATGTTGAAAATAGAATTTTTCTACTTTTAACTGTACTCTTACACAATATATTGGGCCGGGGATTTAGCTCAGTGGTTCCAATGCTTGCCTTGCAAGCGCAAGGTCCCGAGTTTGATCCCCGGTACAAAAAAAAAAAAAAAAAATGTAATAACTGACAAAACTGCAAATATTAATGAAATGTACAAAATGAAAGACATAAATGAATTTTCTTTGTAAATGCATGATTATTTTCAAGAAGACTGAAATGCTATTTAAATTACATTAGCTCTCTTTCTCTTTCTATATATATGGAAAAGAGGTGCAAAGTAAATATACTTGTCTATCCCTCCATAATATGAAGATATTTATGACATTATCAGTACATTATTTAACTCCTCCAATATTTGGCTTATTTAGGTGTTCATTCTTATTAGGATAAAAATATTTCCCTATATTCAATTACCATTGTCAGTAGACTAAACCAAAATATGTACACATCTGAAAATATTTCTCAAAATATTTGAATATTTAATACTTTTTCAGTGTTAGGTTTGCATTCTTATTAAGACTAGACCTGTGCTAAAGACAAATAATATTTGTCTTTATTAGAATATATTATTTTAATAATTTTGAATGTGTTTTTGCTGCAAGAAAATCAAAGCAACTTTGAAAAGGATAAAACAACTCATGGCATTTTAAATCCTTATGGGGAAGAAAAGTACTGAAAATTCAAAATTTGTGTTGAGAATCAATTATTTCTAAATGGTGCTTCATAAAAATCTTCTGGTTTGTGTATTTTAATGAATATCCCAACTTTGTAGATTTTTAAATCATTTTTTAAATAAGCTGCAAATATTTTAATGTATTTATATGAAATATGACTTTTTCCATCTAGTAGTAATATAATCAGATTACAGGGAAAGTATTTGATTATTCTATTCCTATTACAGGGAACTATCTATCTTGAAAACCTAAATAAAAATTTTAAATGTACCCAATGGCAACATTACGAAAGTAAAAGTTATAGAATAAGTTAACTATACAAGCTGTCAAATTTTATGGAAAATGACAGTAAAAAGGCTCACGTGAACCTGAAGATTGGGATAAAGTAAAAGGAGTGGACATTGTTATATTACTTTCAGCCAATTTTTAAACTTTTAATTTTAAAAACAAAATTTGTTTTTTCAAAAGCAAAGGACATCATAACTCTTAAGGTAAAAATATGGGCATTTGTTTTTCTGACTGGTCTAAGGTAACGAATTTCAGAAACTCAAATTCCCATGGTTTGCCTATCTCATCAGTTCTGTTAATGTTAGTTCTGGGACCAGCTGCATTGTCTGAGACAGAGTTGCAAGTTCTCACACCCTCTGCAGACTTACTCAGTTGGCATCTCTGAAAAAAGGTCCAGCAATTTATGCTAAGCAAGCCCGCCAGGTGATTCGATTGTGTGCTAAAATTTGACTTATCTTGTATTTTCTAACATGTATGTTCATAATTAGTGAAATAGATGAAGGAATCTAGGACACCCATTTCTTGTTAAAAATTCTCTCCTTTTTAAAATCTATGTCCCATTTTACAAACTACGTAATCCAGGAATTACAACTTCACTTTCCAATGCCACCTTTGTTTACAAAGGGTAAAAATGGGATCAATGCACCAGTTGTTGACACTGCGCAGCTTCTGCTCAGCATTCATTCTGTTTTTAGTAGACCTTTACATATTTTCTCTTTCTCTACAGGTCCTCAAACATGTTCTACAACCTTCAAGATCAAGCTTTCAATTGTTCATGGATTCACTCCATCCTAGTATGAATAATTATTGTGAACATTCCTTGACATTTTCTAAGTCATCAGGGTACACAAATGACTGATCTTGAAGTAGATATGGATTTCAAAGGGTAAGTGTTAGCAAGTCTATAAACAAGCTCTCAATTTTCCTGTCATGTAGAATAGATTAAACAAGAAATATGGTCACAAGACTAAGTCTGATGGGAGATTTCAGTTTCATGTATTCACTTTTCTCAATTGAATGTTTTTTTCCCTCACCAAGAAATATTATTAAAACCAGTTGAACATAAGACTGTTCTGGTTGAAGAAGAATATAAGGAAAACTTTTCAAGTGTCCCTTTTTTCCCAGCTGTAGAGACACATTTTGAATCCCAAGTTTTGCACAATGAAGTCTGAAAATATTGACCTCTAACATTTTCTCTTGTAAGTCTCTGTGTGTATTACAGATGAATTTACAAAGATTACCAGGAACAGAAAGGGTTTTGCTTGGAAAGAATGATCAGTTATAAATTGGATAAAAGAAGAGAGAAAGAGGAAATTTCTCCTCTATTATCTTCGGGCCCAGGAAATGACACCAGAAGCTATGGCTCTTTGACAATCTGAAATGAAGCAGCAGTCTCTACATCTCTCTGATCTTCCCTTCCCCAGTCTTTCAATCCATTGTTCTCAAGCACAGGAAAGGGCCTTCCCTAAAGGTCCTTCTCTAGATAGGATAAAACAAACTGGAACACAATTGTTGTCAAACTTCTCACTGAAATTTATTTTAATAACTATGTATATTTTATTAGTACAGATTTGCAGCAAATGTTATATTTGCCCTGTACATAACACATCATAAAAAATCCCAAATGTTGGAGAGGTTGTGGGGAAAAAGGAAACCTTCTTCATTATTGGTAGGAATGTACACTAGTATAACCATTAAGGAGTAGGGAGATTCCTAAAACAACTAAAAGTAGAAATTCTATTTGACCCAACTATTCCCCTTCTTGAAAGAATTAATCATACTACAGTAATACATGTATGCCTGTCTTTATAGCAGTACAATTTATACAATTTAAAATATCTAACCTTGGAAACAACCTATATGTTCACCAGCAGGTGAATAGATAAAAAAGTGAAGTTTATGCACAGTGGAGTACTATTCTGCCATAAAGAAGGATACACTTGAGGTATTTTTGGTGTATGGATGCACCTTGATCCTATAATGTTTAGTGAAATAAATCACACTCACAAGTTTAAGTATCCCTTGGCTTCTTTTATGTTAGAAACCCAAAATATAAATGAAGAGCAAAAATAATGATCGATAATAAGGAAGCAAATGTTCCATTTCAAGTGGAAAGGGAAACGAGAGATGGAGGGAGGAGGGAAAGAAAGGGAAGGGATTAAAATAGAGACAGAATCTTTTCACATAAATTTTATTCACCAAAGAAGATCAAACTCATATCACAAAAGAGATTGAGAATTAAAAAATCTATCTCCCATACAGACATTGTCATAGGCTACTGTCCATACTCCAGGTGCATTCTGTCCTTAAAAATCTTTTACTTCCCCTCCGAGTAGCCAATAGCTACTCAATATATGATTGGATCTTTTATTTTGGTTTAGAGCAGAACAACTCAAAAAGCAAAATCTTGGAAATGACCCTTATCACATCACCAAATGAATGGATTTTAAAAACTGGTATTTATATATAGTGGAGTACTATTCTGCCATGAAAAAGGAGTCATTTGTGAGAAAATGGATGAAGCTTGAGACCAAATGTTAAGTGAAATAAATCTGGCACACAAACTTAAATATTATGTGAATCCTCTTATATATGACACCCCAAAGATAAATAAATTAAAGAATAAAATAAAAGACAGATACTAGCAAACAGAGAGATCCATCTTTTGGAAAAGAGAAAGAGACCAAGAGAAGAAGGGGAGGGGTTGGTTGAGTGGTGAAAAAAAATAATGAAGACATGTAGGTACACGCATTACAAATATAATCATTGCGTACTGCAAACATGCTCTCATAATACAAAATAGGGGGCAAAATTAAATTGCTAGTAGCACCCCAATCAAATCCTGTCTCCATTAAATATGTATTTAACCCTAAATCCTCTGGCCCCACTCTGGGTTTCAGATTTTGCTTACTTTCCCTGGACATGTGCACAATTATCAAATCGAATGCCTTTTTTCCTGTTAACCTGTCTAATGCCATACATACATTGTTGCCATATTAACCTTCCCTTTTGCCATAACTACACTAACTTGTGTCAGCACACTCAATGTCCTAACTTTCAGAGAAAAAAATTTAAACTTCCCTACAAGTAGAACCTCACTTGGGCTCCGTCTTTACTTTTCAAGTCCATACTGTTTCCTTAGCCTGGAATGCACTCTCCCTGTCCTTTATACATTGAAAAATATACATGAACTCCTGGGAATCTTAGAACACTCTGATTCCATTGTTAGGGATACACCACAAAAAGCCTGTCTTTTTCACAGCCATATATTTGTCTTGAACAGATTTCTGACACAAAATAACAACTAAGTATTTCATTTGAATTATTTACCTACAGTTTCTATCCCGCTCTTCAGTCAAGCTATAATCCCATATCTATCTTGTTTAAAATTTTATAATTCTATCACCAAATACAGATATAGCATAGAATGCAATTAATGATAGCCAATAAATGTATATTCAATACATTTATCTTTAATCCAAAGTACAGAAGAAAATAGGCAAATACTCATGTTAATTGTTTTAGGAGTGATGATAAATATTTAGCTGTACTTGAAAATAGTGGTTTTTTATCACAATAATTCACCGATCAACTTTTTGCTTTATGATAAATGTGTAGATTTCTTTAAAAAGTATTCTTGGTTTTGGAAATAACTCTGAGAATATTCTTTCTCACCAACAACTTCTATTAACTTAGCTAATTATATTGTCAACCTAATAAACCTATATTTTAAAATGTTTGGATTACAGTCTAATTTTTTTCTGTTATATATTGAAATATGAATTTTCAGTATTTGAAATATTTCCATTAGGCATGCAATCAGTTCTGAAAAACCATTTCTCTGAAAGGCAGACTTCTGCTAATATATGTAGAATCTATGCTTTAAACTAACTGAAAAAAATTAATGAAAATAGGTTAGAAACATACAGTAAGATTACCATATAATGGCAGTTTTCTATATCCCATAAATTTCAATGATGGCAACAAATTTTATGTAAAGAAAATACTTTAAAGTACTTCCAGTAAATGAAAAAATAAATAACAATAATCCTGTGAAAATTCATGACAATGTACAGCTATTCTATGAAATTGTAATATTGCATGAAATCTTATTCACATGTCTACTTATGCATGAAAAATGCTAGAATGAGTGCACTCTAATCTATTAATAACTGTATTTCTACAAATTAATATTTTTCAATTTTTTGATCAAACTAAACTCAAAGTAGTGATTTAAGTACTGCAATAAAAATAGGACCCAGAGATAATTAATGATAAGTATAAAATAATAAAGCATTTCAAATATTTGGAATATGTAATAAGTTTAACAATCATGATGGATACTTTGAGAGAAAACTAAAATAGCACTGAACTTTTTATTGTAGCTACTGCATTTACTACAATTGTTAACATACACTACATTCTCTGCATTCTCTGATTCCTCATTGACCATGTTCATCATGATTTCCATTTTGTGCTGCCTGGAGCCCTGGAGATTTCACAACATCCCCAGGGACTGAGAGGAAGGAAGAAGAGGAACAAGGGTCACTCAAGCCTGCCTGCCTCCTGACAAAGGTTCAGTTAGAGGAACTATCCTCTACCTTTCCATCTTTTGTCTTTCTTTCTTTGGGGTTTTGCTACACTCCTATTACAAGAAGAGACAGAGAGCCAACAGTGTAATGTGCTCAAGGAAAACTGCCAGAATTATTAAGATCATTAATGTAAAGGTTAAAAGAAAGATGTTGAACTTGCTGATAACTTCCAACTATGGAATGTCCTTTTGAGTAAGCAACTTTCCCAAATTTCACACCAGATGGAGGCATAACTGTGATAATATTTGTGTGTATGTGTGATTGTTTAATTTCTAAATTATTTTAGGAAATTCTAAAATTCACAGTTTCACTCATGATATCCCCCAAAGACATCAAGTTCTAGAAAAAATCCTAGTACATAGGTAGGGCTTGGGAAGATGATGATAAGATCAGATACTGTGAAATGTGTAGTACCTACAAATAAAGAAGTATAGGTTTTGGCAAAATCAAGATGAATATGCCTAAAAGAGGATTATTAGAAATACAATGTAATTTTTCTTTTACTTTTGATTTTAACTGATACCTAAAAGCATAAAGCTATACATATTAACGAGGTACCACAAAATGTTCAATAATTGCAATGCATTGTACAGTGTTTACATCAGGTTAATATAATGTTACTTTTCATATACACTATCTTAGTACTGAAGCACTTAGAACTGGATACATGGGAAAAGACACAATAGCAATTCTGATAAAAATACACCAGCCAAATCGGATTAGAACCAAGGAATATATTAGGAACTATGCAGTGTCACCTATCCTGTATCTACAGTCACTAGAAGACTCAACAATGTCCAGATCAATAAACACTGAATCTAGATAGACAATCCTTCATCCAAATAAACACAGGAAAAATAAATCTATGTTTATGCCAGAACAAAACACAACACCATACTGAAGTCTCTCAGAGAAAGATACAGTCAAGCGATAATGATTTATTTGTAAAAGATTAGATATTTTTCCAAAAAATAAAGGAGCTCAAACATCTACTAATTTAAAAACACATATAACAATGTATGTTGTATATAATCAAAGCATATAATAAAGGAAAAAAATTGGAGATTAAAATTACTACAGAATAAAGTATAGAAACAGACTACAGGTAAGGTCTTCAAGGAACTAAACTTTCAATAGCAGTACTGAAGGTATTTTTGGTAGATGAAGATAGAATTGATGCTAGAAAAGAAAAAGGAACTAAGTAATGCAAGATAAATTTGGAAAGCTTTCAGAAAACGCTGGTTAGAGAGAAGAGATTAAAAAATATATTACAAGATGATAGATCCAAAGGCTGAGACAAAAGTCACCTTAAACTTCTAGGTATCTTTGGGGAAGAATGCAGAATAATTGTATTATTAAAATGTCACCTCTTTGCAAAATCCCAGGCATTGACTACCAATCACTGTTGGTTTATTTTTTCTTTTAGAATTAACAAAAATTAATAAGCTTAAATCAAAAACTTCAACTATAGAAAGTCAAGAAGTCTAGTCATATATTAATACTAATTTATAACAAAAATAAAAAGTAATGTGATTTTTAAACCTACTTCTATCTCAGACTTTATGACCATGAAAAACTACTGTTAACTAAAGATTCATGTCCTTTAATTCTAAATCAGACTTTGGGGGAATACATACGGTTAGCAGCAGTTAGAGCATATGGATCTAATTGAGTTCAAATAAAATTTATTGAGTACCTAAAATGTGCCAGGAACTGGGATAAACATTATCAAAGTAAAACTAAATTAGACTTTCACCTTCAAATACCTTACTGCAAAAAGAAAATACTCTTTCAAACCCTTTCCAGGTTTGACTGTCTGGGATTGCCATTTTATAGAGAGGTTTAGAAAAATCAAGAAGAAAAAAAAAGTGGCTTCATATAAAGTAATCTAGACTTAAAATTAAAAAAGAAAAGAAATTTCTTAGCATGGAAAGTCTGGGTGTTCAGAAGAAAATAGTTTGTTCTCAGTCATTCCTGTATTTTCTGCCTGATGACATGGACCATCCTTGCCTCTTGTCTGCAACCTCTTTCAGTTCCTGCCATCCAGGATGGCTCTAAGCACTTCCCTTTGTGAGGGAATTACTCCTCATTTAAACACCTCCATGTTTACACTTCAAAATGGAAATTCAGATAGTGGTGAACTGCAACAAAATCCCTCTGGCCCACTGGACACAGGTTACCTCAGACAGCCTCCTGGATGTTCACACAGTCTGTCCAGTTCCAGGTATTATGTTTACTTGAAGGATTTCTATGACAGATAAATATTTCAGGGACCAAAGCATGAATAAATATTTCTAGTTCTTAGAACTTTCCTTGACAATTGAAGAAGAATAATATTAGTCTTTCTAGAGTGATGTAACTTGATACTGGATTTGCTCACCTGTAACCACACTGTATTCTGTGACAAGGTGGGTCATAACACCTCGATTGTTTTTCTGTTGAACTAAAACACATTGAAGGACTTTTTCTTTTAATGTGTAAAACAAAAATAACATTATCTATTATTTATATTTTATTTAAAACTGTAAAGAAACATATTGCTTGACATTTTTTTCTATTTTCAAAATAAAATTAGGGTTTTTGCACCAAAGTACTAATTCAGTTCATTTCCTGAAATAGCCATCAAACTATATGCTAGACATTATCTGATACTGGAGATGAGAGATAGAAACAGACTTGTCTTTGCTCTGCATAAACCCAGGCTAGGAGAGCAGCTCAAAGTATGGAAGTGCACAAAAATCAGGGAGGAAACATTTTGGAGGAAACATTTTTGAGAAAACAAAGATGGCTGGGAAAGTCATGATGGACTATGGAAAAGACTTGGTATTTTATGAGGAAAAATAGGAATTTGTTTTTAGTAGGGAAAATACATTCCAAGCAAAATTGGCATAATGTGAAAAAGATATTTTTGGAGGTAAAAATCCATTTGTGCAGAACAAGCAACAGGGTATTCTCCTTCCACGGTTTGAGGATTGTCCCTGGAATGTCAAGCGTTGGAGTGTAGATTTTGTTGGGCACTGACATTATATACTGGCCTGTGAACAAAAACAAGGCTTTGAAGATCATTTGTTAAGTTATAGTATCCTTAAACAATAATAATTCTAGCACAGTCAGAGGTGTGCTCTAGTCCCCAAAAGGAAGGGCACAGTTGAGATTTCAAAGAATCTAAGAAACAAGGAGATTCCACACAGGTGACTGGGCACAGTTGGCCAAAACAAAACAAACCTACTTTCTACCCAATGCCTTTTTTCTATCCATGTTTTATCTACCGAAAGCTTTTAAAAATATTTTAATCCTCTAACATTTAATCTGAAGTATCCACTACTTTACAATGTGCTAGATAAGTGAGCCCAGGGAATTTACTGAACTCTCTCAGCTTCGTTTGATCTATTGTAAAGTGAAGATGATAAAAGTAATTCCATAGGTTGCTGTGAGGATTAAATAAGGTTGTTAGCCCAACCTTATTGGGCCATTGCCTGGCACACTTTCAATACCAAATAAACAACTACCTGATTGCTACTGTAGTGATCACTCTGATGCTCAGACAAAGGTATTACATACAAAGACCAGTTGATTTGTCCAAAGTCGTGGAATCTAATGAAGCAAAAATAAATACTTATTCAATAAAAATAGAGACAAATTTTTAAAGTATTTGAAGTATTTTTGTGTGCTTTCATATTTACAATGACTTTAGAAGAGAAGCAGAATAAAAAATTATCCTCCCAGTCTAATAACTGAATACATGACCACTTAGACAAGGCAAGTGTCTCATCCACAGTGCCAAACAGACACTGCATTAAGCTCTGATTTCTGGAGTCCTAACTCTCCCTATTTAGGCAGCTATCTCACCACACTGGTGATTAGTTGGGCCTTAGAAAACCACACAGTTGAATGGTCCAAAAAAATGAGATACCATTTAATTTTATGCATGAGCAGAATATGCAACCACTCCGCTCCAAAAATTCTTACTTTCCTAAATAAATGATTACATGTTTTTATGTTTTTTGGATACAAGAGAATCTTGGGGGACTTAGAAGCTAAGGAATACATCATGGAAACAAAATACCGGTAAAGGCTGAAAATCAAGTGAAAATTTAAACTCCAAGGAAAGAGGGAGTACCATGTACACATGCACTAATTACT